CAGTATGTCTCTGATTTATAATTGTCCATTTTTGCTTTGTTGTGTTTTGTACTGTTATTATTTTTTTACATTGATGTCTTATTGTATTAATGTAATTAAATGTTTAACTATGCAGATTTTAGCTCTTTTAAAATCTAGGAGAAGAATGCATGATATAGGATATGTTTTTTATTATTGCTTTTGATTAGTAAAGTGACAAGGCTTTACTATTGAGAGTACAGGAGATAACATTGATTTGAGATTACTGTTTGTGTGGATTGCCAAGTCTTTCATCATTTTCACAATTGTGTAACATAGTTTAATCATATATAATTTTCACCAGGAATACCAAAACACAAATTTAAAATAAATACATTTTTTATAAAAATTTGTGTGTTTAAAACATATACTCTGAATTTAGATTACTTAAGTAGGAATACTAATCTAAGAAAAGGAGCTGCAATCACAATCATTTGTAACTGGTTCACATAAGGACTCTACAAATAGTTTTTCTGAGAGACTCAGGCCAAAAAGCATATTAATAAAAGATAAGAGATTGGCCAGAACCAAGACAATTTTTAAACAGTGGCACAACCCTCCCAGAATTGTTAGGATCGATAGAGCCCAAAATGAATTAAGGCTTGTGGGTAAAAAAAAATTCCAAAGCAAGAAGACTGTTTTGTTTTCGTTATGCTTGTTTATTTTAAAAAGACTAATGGAAGAGAAGAGCATGATTCCTTGGTGATAGTATCATGTTAACTTTTTAACTTTATTATGATAGAGAAAGCTGAGTTTCCCTGGACCTGCTATTTTTTCCTTCATTTTCTGTCACTAACATTTATTGAACACCTGCTGTATGTGAACCCCCCGCATTTCCTGTTTTTGCATATGTGTTTTGCTGGCACATGAAAGTGATTTTGTAGACCTAGCATGCGTGGATTTTACCAAGGAATGTTGCCTTTCTTGCAAGCATACAGGTGGATTTAGAAGATGTTCTGATTGGGCATGTTCGTAATTGTCAATGAAAGGATCTTGACAAGTACCCAGGAAAAAAGTGTACACATAAGACTTTGGTGATAGACACCAGTGAGGACCTGTGCTAGACCATAGGAAAATAAAATAAAGGCATATTTCTATTCTCAAGATTATAGTGGATTAGGAAAAACAGATGCTTATGCAGATAATAACAACTATATATCTGGTACCATAGCAATATAGAACAGAGTCGTCGATTCTGGTGATGTGAGTGTGGAAGGCAATGTCATCCCAATAAGAAAGATCCTTGTACTCATTTTGAAAACTGTTTCTTTTTACCTCATTAAATGATTTTGAAAAACACCTTCTTGTGTTATTTAAACTAGCCAAACCCCAAAATGCATCTGATTGTTTTTATAAAAATAATTCTATCCATTGGTTACTAAAAACTATCTAAAATATTGAGACAGTCTAGTTCTAACTAAAACCATAATTATCACAACTCTGTCTTATTGTTGAAGATCCACATTTTTCTTACTATTGCCCTCATTTCCATTGCTTCTGCCACCACAGACCACTCCTCACTTGGGCTTCCTCAGTAACCTCTTAGGTGGGCTTGCTCTGCTTCTTTCAACATGTCACCCAAAAGCTACCTTCTCAGAAACAAGCCTGATCAACTCATACATTAAAAAGAAAAAAACAAAAACTGAAAAGTCCCTAAATATGAACGCAGAGATTTCTTGAATTAACCCTCTAGCTGCTTGCCCAAGGCTTGAGCTCCTTTTGTCCTAGTATCAGCTCCCATCTCCTCTCTCCATACATCGTCTTGACCAGGACACACTGGACACATTCTCTCTTCCACAATTCTGTGCCTTTGCTCACGCTTCACCCGCTGCAGGGAACTACTTCCTATCTTTCGACACACTTAAATTCAAATGCTTCCTCCTTCTTTCTCTCAGTTAGCTAGAATTTGTTAAAATTGTCTTGTAGGCCTTTTCTTATCATTTGATTCATTCCTTATTGCATCAGAAAATCTAGTAGAAGAAGGACTGGGCTAGGATTTGGATAATCCATATTCCAATCCTGAATTTGCTTCTTAACCCCACATTCTCAGTTTGCAAGTGAGAGACAACTTTTAATTCTTTAATTCTTTGATATGGATCCATCTAGTTCTCTTACTATTGATAGAAGATGATACAGTGTTTTGTATATCTTTGTAAATCACATTGTTTCATAAATCTTCACAATATCCATAGCACCCGGGTGCACCTTGTACTTTGGTAAACTTCAATAGATATTTGTGAAGTTGAGTGAATGAAATAGAGGATGAATACCTGGACATGCCCTTTATAGAAAATAAATTGAGTCATCCTTATGTAAGTAATTTAAATAACTATTTAAATGAAGTATACCCTCTATTAAAATGTTCCAAGAGAAGATCTAAGATAAGGGATGTAAAAGAATAAGTCATAGAGATTAAAGTCTTTCAATATTATTAGCGCCAAGTACCATGAAAATATACAGTATGCAAATGTAGAAAGTGTTAAAAGACTGAATATATACTTGGTTAGTAGAAGGAACACATTGAAATTTAAGATAGAAGTCTACCTAAAATAGCTAGGTATAAAATGCTAATAATACAAAAGTAATTGGCATCAAATGAAATTTTTATTGCCAGTCTCAGCTCTGCTATGAATTCTTTTACCATAATCCTTCAACAGTCCTGTGCAGTAGAAATGTTTATCCTCACTTAGCTGATGAGAAATCGCACAAATTGCTCAAGCTCCTACAAAGTATACATACCAGAGTTGGGATTTTAAGTCTGTCTAAATCTAAACTCATTTCCTAACCACCCACGATATTGCATCCCCTGAGATGATGCATCCTTGAAAATAACAGATGGTTTTTAATTTACTAAAAAGTAGTGGATAAGCCTATTTTTTTAAAGGAAAGAGGAGAAAGAGTAGTTTGTTAAAAGGATTTATAGGTTCAGAACTGAAATTTTGTCAGAAACTGAAGCTTCTCCAGTAATTGACTATTTTCAACCTTTTCTTTCTACTACATTGTGTGGTCTCTCCCTCCCTCCTCTCCTGTACAGAAGGGAGTCTTTGATTTCCCCTTATATTGGTTCTATTCTTTCTGCCTATCAACAGCTGTATGACTTCATTTAACTTTTCTACTGCTAATCAGTATTTTATCTTCCTGTGTTCTAGATCCAATTCCTAAGAAAGGGAATTGCATTTCCCCACCTCATTTTATTGCATCAAGTTGGTTCATACTCTGTGTCTCCAACACTCTGCTGGGAAGAGTGTGTCCTGACTAGTCAACCTAGTTAATCCCTAATAAACTTGCCAAGTAGATGCCTTTCTTTTCTCCCTTAATGCTGAGATTGTTCCCCTTCTACCACTCCACAGACCTTTTTACTTCATTTATCATCTACACTTCCACTTACTCCTCATCTGGCAACACTATTTACCATTTATTCCTCAGTCCTTGAAATCATAATTCTTCCCCTATTATGCCAAAGAAAATTATCTCATTGACATCACCAGCAACTTTCTAAAGATAAAATCTTGGCATGCTGTGAGTCTTCACCTACTCCCTTTGAGGAGAGATGGGGAACAATGAAACTTCCTAATGCAAGCCAGATAGGAGGACACCTAAAGAAACTTTGAAATTATTTCTTGCAGTTGAGAAATAGAAAGAACTCGTGCCTGACTCCCACCTGAGAAAGCTAAAGATGACAGTGGACTGCTTAGCAAATTCACAGGGAAGAGAAAGGCCAACTCCTTCGTAATGGAAAAAGGAGAATCTTGCAGCATTGAAGTGTGACTGTACTCTCTGAGTTGGTAGGGGCATGGCACGTGTACAAGTGGATAGATGCAGGACTCACAGGAGGGTCATGGGCAGTGCAGTGATTCTTCCAGGGTCAGAGTGACCCCCAAAATAGAGAACCACTTCTTAAAGTCAAGGAAAAGTATATGTACCAAAGCATCATTTATAACTTCTATTTAATGATGAATCACCCAGAAGTTGATCAGGTTTTTGCTTCTTTTCTCTAATAAAAAAATACCCCCCCCAATAAAATTGTGTCTTTAGGATAAAACACACATAGGCAGGAATTCATATCCAAGATACATAGATATACTTCACCTAAGGACTTAGTCTGTTCCATCAAATGTACAAGACTATGTTTCTGTTCAATTAACTACCATCTTCTGCAGCAGAGACTTAACCTGTAGTGATACAACATACTCTGGGTCTCCGATGGGGCAAAATGGAAGGTGAAGAACAGTGTGAGAAGAGTTGGTGATAGCTTTGATGGTATGAGTGGGGAGAGTGGAATTGAGAAACTAGATGGAGGTCAGACTGTGAACTCTCTAGCTAACCCATCAGAGGCTGGGACAGCTATAATCAAAAGCTAAACTTCATCCAGCTCTTAGTTTTGCCTAACACTTGCTAGCCCATGTTTTATACATGTAAGGATTTATCTAATATATTCTCTAGATCACTAACATTAGTTTGATGCCCACTGATAAATCAGCTACAGTCCACTTACCATCATGCTTTTATTAAAAGACTAAAATGTTAACAGTTAATTGAAGAAACAAGAAAACAGTACATATAAAAGGAAGGCTGAATTTACAGTACCAGGAAATACTCTTGGTAGCCTCTTTTCTGATTTCTGCAGAGAGCTCTGCTTGCCCTGGATAATCACTCCCATGTGTGTCTTTTGCTGGGAGTATGGCCATTTCACTCTCTCCCTGGCCTGCCTTGATTTTCCCAGAGTGAAGCAGAAACAGAAGGGTTGTAAAGGAGAGTTTTGCAGAGAATGGTGAGCCTATCAACAAGTTCATCTGATTTGTGGTGTTTGCTAGTTACTGTGGTTTAAATACTCCCACCGTGGCCAATTTTAAGGATAGTTGTATTTAGTAACTAGTTGGAAAATCCCTGAAAACTTAACAATTGGCTCTCACTAGCGGCTGCTAGTCCACTCAAGCACACTGCTAGATCAACAAAGATGAATAACACCAAGTTTCCATAAATATATATGATAAAAATTTAATTTCCTGAGAAGATATACAAATGCAAGAAGAACAAGGCATACAAGTCTTTGGCCCTACAATTACTCAGGAGATGTTTTTTTAAAAAAGACTAAGAAATTTCATGGCCTCAGGCTTGGCCTACTCCTGAGCAAGTTTTGATATACACAATACAGTATTTTTAAATTAGCTTTATATGTGATATAATTAATAACAATACAGTCTTTTACAAATATCCATAAATATTTTAAGTTGGATTAACAATTATCATATTACATATCTTTCAAAAAGAACCAACAAGCAGCTAATTAACAGAGTCCAAAGATTTAACAGGGTGTCATTGAGTGCTATTCATTATTTTTAGAAGTTGACATATTTGACCAAGATAGACACTTGGTAGTAGGATATGGTTGGAGTAAACCCTGAGCAACACCCTTGTGCTTCCTTCTCCAACCAGGGGAAGGGGCGGTGTGGGATGTAGAGAAAGATCTGTTGTAGCATTTCTCTACATATCTTGGATTGAAAGTGAATACACATCCTGATGAATGAATATACTAAACTTGATAGACTTACAGAATGATGACAGAAATACTAGCTCTAAAGCTGAGACAGTAGAATACAATGAGAGGCCTGCTGGCCCTGTTAATCTCTAATTCTATGGGTTGAGGCATGTTATCTTTACTCCATCGTCCTCCATATTCTCATTATTAAAATTGTGCCCAAAATACCATCCCTTTAACTTTATAAGCTTGCCATTTGATATATGAGAGTACTTTAGAAAAAGTTCTCATGAAACCCTATGTGAAAGTCCAGAATGACTCTTTTGATCAGTTGGTTTTATAAAGCTCTGCATCCTGAGTGTGATGAAATCAAGGGAAATTCCCAAGTAAAGTGCATTCCATTTGCTGCTACTTATGCCTCTGTCCCAACAGTTTTCTAGAATGTTTCCTATCCTCTAGCACAACTAAAGTGGGGTGGTGTTGGCATATCTGTAGCCACTCTACCAATCTATTTTTTATAGAGGGTCTCAGAAAATGGGGGATATGGGAAATAGTGCAAGAATATAAGAACAAAGCCAGGCTACTCTCCTGGTTCTTTTTTTATGCAAGGTGTGGCTCTCATGGGAATAAGTCCTCATTTAGCCACCCAGCCAGTCAAAGACTCTTTGAGGAGCTTCTGTGCTCCAATCAATTCATTTTGTTGTGAATTAGCAAAGTGTCTTTACTAACTCAGTGTCAATAATAACCAATTATCTTTGTCCCATCTACCAAGTCTCTTTCTGATAAGCAAGAGAAGAAAATTTGCATGTAGAGGAGTTCTGTTTGTGTTGACTTGTGTAGCCAAACTTTAGGTGTTGAAAATTTGCCTCCTCCAACCCCCTACTCTCCCACCCTCTGCATGTGCTAAAGAAGATAGGAAGACCAAATCAAGTCTCTAGGAAATCAATTTGATGTTTTCTATCAAAACGACTGCCAAGTATGTATTGTTCTCTAGAACCTGATGTTCACCGTTGAATATCAACTCTATTGTATCTTCAGCGTGCAGTTTACAAGGCCTTCCTAAATACTGGATTTTAGATTTGTCTGTAACAGTTTGTATGATGTCTTTATTCTTAAGTAGCTGTACTGCAAAACGAGCTTTTTCCTGGTAGGTTGTATTGGGAGCCACTTGACCGTAAATTATGTAGTAGCCTTTCTGGAGAATCCTCAGCTTCCAGTCAGCTATCTTATCCACGCAAGGAGATTCAGGAGATGTCATTTGCCATTTGGAGGCCAATGGTCCTATAGGAAATTTACAAGGGAGAAGAAAACATGGAAAGCATAGTTATTTCATCACTTTCCTAATTATAATTCTTTCCCATTGACAGGTTGTTGTTGTTTTCCCAACCTGGTCTGTACTAGTTCTCTCCAACCACAAGTTTAGTATTTTTAAGTATCTATCTACTCCTTATGCAAATCCTAAGTGTCTCTCTTACTTGGGGAACTCTAAGGAAATGGGTTTGAAGTAGAAAAACAAGTTGATTTTTTAAGTGGCACTGCATCTTTTGTCAATTAATATATGAGCAAGGAATAAAAGCAAGAGGGAGGAGAGAAGGGGGAAAGAATCATACCCCAGGATTATATCAATCAGACCTCACAATACTCATTCCTTTTCTATGAAAATGCTGTTACTACAAGTCACTGTGTCAATGAGATTTCCAGATAAATCCATAAAAAATAGAGCTCTCCTTGCCTTCTTCCCTCTGCCTGCTTTAGTTTTCTTCATAGAAGTTATCACCATCCAGCGTGTTAGAAATTAAGTTGTTTATTATCCATCTCATAATCACTTGAATAGCATCCTGAATTTTTTTGAATTTATATACAAACATTTATTTAAATTTTTTTATTTTATATATTTTTACATTATTTTTCATTTTTGCACAATGTATACCTTTCATCTTGTTATATTTAAGTTCATCCTGAATTTTATTCATTGCTATATCTCAGCACATTATAGAGTTTCTGGTACCTAGTATGTGCTCAATAAATATTTCTTGATGACTGATACATCCATTTTCTTGAATGAGTTGATTTGTGCCTAAATTATGGCTCTTGTTATTAGTTTATAGGTAGTTTATCATTCAAGATCCACTTGGGATATTATTATCCAACCGCAAAGCAGCTACAAGTAAATTCATGAGCTTTAAAATGGAAATTATTTGACTGTTTAAATGTAAGTATCCCTAGTTTGATGCTATCATACAAGGAATGGGGAAAGACCTTGTCATTTATTTTCATAGGTATACATATTTAAATATTTACCAAATGTTGTTTTTGCATAGTAGCATGTTCCAGAGTCCTGAGCAGTGCTCATACCCCCCAAAATGTTTATATGGCCTGTTCTTTAAATCTCCACATATTTAGTTTTGGGGCAAAGTCTTTATTCCATAATGATCAAGAAGCCTTGATAATAAAATACCTTGGAAAATATAACACATTGACTAAAATTCTTATTTATATGTAAATGACAGACCTAAGACTCTGGAGGTAGATTCAGAAAGAGAATGAGAGGTGACTAGAGCAAGAAGCAGTCTCCCTGGGCCCTCACTGATCTCAGTCCCAGTGAATTTATTTCTACTTGACATGTAACAGGCAATAGACAAGTCACCAGGAAGAAGTGCCATTGGTTCTCTTATTTAATTCTGTGGTAGAGGCCACTTAAAGCCTTAGCATCACTTGAGGTTCTCAACTTTTACCACATCAAGGGGCAATTTCAAACATATCATGAGTTCCACTCCCTTCACTAGAAAAACAAAAACAAACCACAATGGCAGAGACAAATGAAAGGATTCCTAATTCCCACAAGCCACGCTGTATAGGAACACAGGGGTAGCTGTTAACTGTAGAAATGTTTTGCTCTCAGCTGCAAATATGTGCTTGACTTGAAACGTATAAACAACCCAAAATGTAATTTTTTTTAAATTTTCTATATATTCTGGAAAATACCCAGAGGCTCAATGTAACTGTAAACTTGAATGTGTTTTCTAAGCAAATACCAAGTCACTGTAAGGGAAAGTGACTCAGAGCTGAGAAGAAGAGGAGAAAGGAGCAGCTCATGGCCATTCCCCTAATTTACATTCTTTTCTTTTTCCAGACTCCTTTTATCTTTTTTTTACTATTAGCTTTTTCTCACATATTTTGGTACACATTTGGAAACAAAGGTGGCTCCTCCCTCTCGTGGCCTCCCCCATACACACAAACACACTCTGCTGGATGACAGCAATTTATAAAATGTAAGGAGTTTGAGTTTATCAGAAGGAAAAGTTGTAGAAACATGGGGCCTCCCTAATGGCGCAAAAGGTTAAGCGCCACACTGTGAAGCAATCCGCAGTCTCTGCAGCACTGAGTTCGATCCCCAGCCAGGCAGGGAGAAACCCACATGGCAAGATAGACCTCTCCTGGCTCACCTGCTGCTCCCCTCAGCAGTGTATTTCAGTCTGCCTGTTCTGCTCCCCACTCTGTCTCTGGTGAATCCTCTCACCCCCCTCATCTCTGGCCTGTACCCCAGCTCTTGTATGCATAAATAAATATATCTTTAACAAAAAAAAAAAAGTTATAGAGACATGAAACTTGTGCTTATTAAAAGTAGATTCCTGGATGTCAGATTCCCTGGCCATAAAAGTGATGTGCATGCCTGGCCGGGCACGTGACCTAGAATGTAAGCTTCATTAGGGCATGGGTTTCTCTGCCTGCTTTACCTCTGAAGGCACCTCCCCTAGGCAGCTGTCTGGCACATGATAAGCAGTTATAAATAGTAGTTGAAGAGTGAATAAAATAGAATACAGGCTTCTTTACAACGCTCGAGTTTGCCTTCTTACACCAAATACTCAGAAAAGTTAAAAGAAGCATGCAAGCCAGGTTACTCACCAGTCTGTGCTCTACAGGGCTCACAGGCAGTCTGCAGGGAAAGAAAAAGGGAAACAGGAAGGATGACAACAATGTCACAGTTTCCTTGATTTATTTATTTAGAATTTCATGTTCTTGAAGCCAACTATTTACCCCTTATCAGATAAAAAAAATCCCTCCCTCCAGCTGTCAGCTTCCCTTTACAGATGAGAAGCTCCATGCCACACCACTTAATATACATACTACAAAATGCCATCAGTGTGGTGAATTTCATAAGAACAAGTATTTAAATTTTAATGGCTCTGAAATACTTAGTCACAAGATAAGATATAGTCACACACACAAAAATGTACCATGTAAAGTTCATTGGTTTTCTTGTGGCAAATGCTGAAGAGACTTTTTGAACTTAAATATATTACGCATTTCTTAAGCATTTCTTGGCTGCTATCCTAGGAATAAAGTAAAGGAAGACGGAGAAAAGCAGTGAAACCTGCTGAGTGACTGTCAGAATCATTTCAGCAAGAAAACCTGGGGCCTCTAGCCCGGATATTAGCAGTGGAGATGATAAGTAAAAAGGCCAAACATGAACAAGGAATGAGAAAATGAGAACAGACAAAGATAACTTCAAGAATTGGGGCCTAACTAGAGAGATGAAGTTGTTAATCACTGAAATCAGCAAGATTTAAGAGCATTAAATTGTGGGAGAAGAAGCAATCATGACTTCATTTTTAGACAGTCAAGAAAATAAAGTTTATTTGATATCCAGAAGGAATTGAATCCATGAAAAAGTAGTTCTAATTATATGTCTAGGGATATTCAGCTTCTGTGTGATGTTTTAAGATATGAGATCATCAAGTCAGTGAGTGTAGACAGACAAGAGTCCTGGAACACGTAATGTTTACAGACCACGGAATGAGGAAGAACCAGCAGAGGAGCCCAGCAAAAAAGTCCATTGAATCAGAAAGGAAACCTGGACAGTGTGATGTTTGGAAACCGAAAGAAGAAAGTGCTTCAGGTGATCTGCTGTGTCAAAAGTTGTGGATGGTTGAAGTAAGAAGAAGACAGAGATGTGACTAATGGATTTGGCAACATAGTAGTTACTAGAGCTCTTGACAGAGTAGTTTGTATGATGTGATATGGACAGATGCTTAGTGAGAATGGAGTTAAAGGTTAGTGGAAAAAGAGAAATCGGAGGAATTTTGTGAAGGTGAACAGAAAAAATGAGTAAAACTAGGTTGGGGATGAGAGGTTGAAGAGATTTCTTTGGGGTTCTGTTTGTTTTAATATGAGGGAAATGACAACATGGTTATCTGTTGACATTTGTTGGGAATGTTCCAGTAAAATGGAGAGGAGTTAATATGCAAGAAGTAGAAGATAACTAGGATTGTGTTTCCTCTTACCTATCACAGGGTATTGCTCCAACAAAAGCTAGCAGCAAAGTTATTGGGTGAGAGTGAGTGTGACGAGAGTACCGGATGTTGAAAGGAGAAGTCAAAGGAGGGAACTAGTTCTAGAGGAGAGGTGAGTGGACTGGGGAAGTGGAGATTGTTTACAGAGCAACACCGAATCCTACTTAGAGTTAGTGGCCATGGATTTAAAGTAAGGCCTTTCCAAAGGCCAGATGTTTTCCCTCAGCTGCTTTCAACTGTGAAAGAGCAGTTGGACTTAGTGTTGGAGATTTTCCAGGTTTGAGGTTTCAATATTAGAATACTGTGAAAGACAAGCAAGAGAGTAGAGTGACACCAGGTAAGGATTATATTCACACGGTGGAATTTAAATTGTATAAAGATGGCAAGAAAGGCCTGAGTGGAGTGTGGGGTAGTATTTCAATTATAAAAAAGAGCATTGAACTATAGAACAATGGATTGAAAATTTAGTATCATGACATGATAACCACACACAAAGATACATTCTTCCATTTTGACCTATATTTCTTTGTGAGGTAATTTTTCATTGGTGAAAGTCAAAACCATGAGTCAAGGTTAATTAGGCTATAATAGAACTTTTATATTATTGTGTCACATAGTGTAAACTATGACTAAAAAGATAAAGGGCTTATTTCGCTGAGCATGATCCCTTCCAGCGCCATCCATGTTGCTGCAAATTGCATGATTTTATCTTTTTTGATTGCTGAGTGATATTCCATTGTATATATGTACCACATCTTCTTGATCCAGTCATCTATTTTGGGGCATTTGGGTTGTTTCCATAGCTTAGCTATTGTAAATTGTGCTGCTAAAACATAGGGGTGCAGGTGCCCTTTGGAATAACTGTTCCTGTGTCATTTGGATAAATACCTAGCAGTGGAATTGCTGGATCATATGGAAGCTCTATGTTTAGTAGGTCAAGAAATCTCCACACAGGGAAGGGTGGGGAAAGGAAGGTCTAGAATCAAAATAGGGGGGGGGTGCAATTGTATGGGGAATATAACCAAAATGAAAATGCATACATTGTGCAAAGATGAAAAAAGATGTAAGAATTATATAAAATTTTTAAATAAAAAAAAAGATAAAGGAAACATATTCATCAAATTGCTAAGATATTACTCCAATTATTTTAGAAAGTTTCATGTAATATGTTAACATATTTAGTAAAATATAATTTTGTTAGAGCAAAATGGTTTTATACTGTGAATAAAATGTATTAATTACATTATTTGGTTCATCCTTATAAATTTCCATTCTGTATATCTTAAATATGCAGAGTATTAATATTTGTTTATAACTTATAGTGATTAGCATATGCATGGATTGTACTCAATAGTGTTTCTGGTAGGAAAATATAATAAAAAATTGGAAGCACTATTCTAGGAGATAAATCACTAGATTCCCTACAATCGCTTTTCTCTATTAATGATTTAACCCTTACTTTGGGGTTTCTTAGAAGAGAGGTTGAAATTAATTTAGTTTAACCCATGATATACATGTGACAAGACTCCCCAAACTGTAATTCCTTCATCTGTAAAATAAGGGAAATGGTTGCTTATGTATTTGAATGAGGTAATTATGAAGGGCTTTGCCCAGATACTCTTTTTGGACCTGCTCAATAAATAATAGCTGTTTTGATATTGATGCTAATTATAATGAAGAATTACACTTAAAAGTGAAAGCATCTATAGTCCAACATCATGCTAGCATTGTAAGCAAGGGAACAAATATAATTTATGGTCCTTGTCTCTTAAGTTTATAATCTTTTTAGAAAGACACAAAGGAAGCAATTGGGTAACGATTTAAAAAAGCACCCGATATCAACTACTGTCATGCATAAAGAGGTGTGGAGAAATCTAAACCACAGACAAATTAATTGCCAGAGCCTGAAATCCTGGATACTGTACCATAAGCTGTTTTAATATCTATTAGAGCTACAGAAACCACCATTGCGATATTCTCTAACAATCACCACAAATGAAAATCTGTCTAAACATAAAATTCATCTATATAGCAGCAAGGAATAGTCTTTGGTTGAGGAAGTGAAATAGATAAGAAATATTCATATTTTTAAAAAGTCTTCTTAATGTATCTGCATTGTAATGTCATTAATTGTAATGGCACAAATAATCATCACTATAATTTATCGAGAACCTATTAAACCTTTTATCAGACACTGTATGAGCTCATTAATCCTTATTACAACTCTATCAGATAAAAACTAGCATGCTTATTGGCAAATGAGGAAATGAGAATGAGAGGAATTAAGTAACTTGCCCCAGTTTGTAGAGCTGATAAGAAGTTAGACTTCTTATCCAAACAGCCTACCTGACTCAAAGTCTCAACCTCACCACTCTGTGGGGGCAGTTTCTGTTTAAAATTCTGCTGCTGTCTGGAAGAAATAAATATCCATTTATTTAAAAAACATATGGACATTCAGTTTAGTGTAGTTCCTTTGTGCTTAGAATGATGAGTTGCTCTTAAAACCCCATGTTGTTTTAAATCCAGATTTACATAATTGGGTTCAAATGGCCAAAATGTAATGCTTTCTCCAAACCAAACCTAATCAGATTATGCTTTGAAATAGAACAATATAATCTATTGGGCTTCAAGTACAACTTCCCTTTTGGCATGTATCTTTCCTTTCATGGAAGCAGAGGAGTCTCCTGAACTTCTGGTTTCTTAGACAACTCCCTGAGGGATAGACCACTGAACGGGGCTCAGTCTAACCTTTCCATTTAATGTCTTCTAAAAGAATGGTTAATAAAAGCATTTTCTCCCAAGGAATTTGCTGTTAGTCTTTGTCAAACCTTTTTGAATGAATGCCTAGAGAATCTGAAAGTGGGATTTTGTATATAAAAGCTAGAGTGGAGACCAAAATAACAAACTCCAAGGTCCAAGGATATGGTGGGAAAGTAGAAGTGGCCACCTCATAATGACTCACCCACTGCCAGTCACTCTAGTCCTCTTTTTTAGATATTTATTTGTGACCAATAGGAAAAGGGAAGTGCAGGCAAGTGGAAAGTGGAATATATAAGCTGAAATTGCATTGTCGACTAGGCCACCCACAGGAAATGTTTCCATGACATCAGGACAATATCCTGAAGACCTTTAGAGGCTGGTCCCCAAATTGGGAATGAACTCTGGGTTATCTCTTTAGATTAAGAATGTTTCATTGAAAAGTTTCATGTTCTCCAGGAGAGAAACAGAAGTTTAATTCTTGCAAGAGGTGTTTTAGATGCCTTTAGCATTTTATTAGAATTCTTTCCTTTTGCAAGAGCCAGTGTGTGGCATTTCTTTACTCTTCTATGCATTGATTCACCTGTCACCTGCAGGAATGACACCTGTAACATACCTATGATCTTCAGGGCCTCCTGGTTAAAAGACTTAAGAAGATTTATAGATGGAAAAAGCACTTCTAAAGTTAAGCTATCACCATTCTCACCTTTCCCCTTCTTCACAATATAAACACTCAGAATTCCTAACCATTGTTTTCTTTCTACTCAAGACTTTATTACTCTATCATGTTCACATTTCTGCTTGATACCTTCATTGAAAGAGCAGGCCTGGGCCTTCCTGGTGGTGCAAGGGTTAAGTACAGCACTATGAAGCTATCTGCAGCCTCTGCAGCATGATTCCAATCCCCAGCCAGCCAGGGAGCTACCTACATGTCACAGCAGACCTCTCCTGTCTCACCTGCTGCTCCCCTCAGCAGTGTATTTCAGCAGATCTGCCTGTTCTGTTCCCTACTCTGTTTCTGGTGAGTCCTTTCACTTCCTGCATCTCTGGCCTATACTCCAGTTCTTGTATGCATAAATAAATAAATCTTAAAAAAAAAAAGAAAGAAAAGAGCAGGACTCTGATAGACATGCCTCTGTTGAACACCCTTTTGTACAATTATGGAATGCAAATTAATGGTCTACTATGTAAAAGTTTGGTTAAAACTTTCACCTGACAACATTAACACCAGAGACTACAGAGTCCTGTTTCTCCTTGAGTCTTTTCTCAATTGCTTTCAAATATCTTAAGTAGTAGAACCATAATTTTGAAATCTTTGCTAGCCAATCCTCTTAGAAAAATATATTTGTGGTCACTGATTTCACAACACAGTCCTTTCTCAGATGGACACCTTATTCTCTCCAAGGCTCAGAATTGTCAAATGTACCCAGAAATGAACTATCCCCTAAATTAAAACATTTCTTATTTTCATTTTGGTCAATAGTCCTAAACACTTCTGATGAAAGCCTAATGTAATTTCATCCCCTTCACTAGACCCACAGCTTGGGCTGGAGATCAATGGGAAATTCCTGATGGGGGCTTCCCCAATAATGTGCTGCCTCCTTCTTCCAGGAGTCTTCCCTGATCACTTCAACCCAAAGTCATTTCCTTCCCCCCACCCCCACCTTTGAACTCCTGAAGCACTTGCTTTATACTACCCTTAGATAAATTATTAGTCACTGTATTGTATAGCCAGAAGGGATATTACAATGAAAAGAAATCCATACTCTTATTATCAATTTTCAGATGAAGAAACTGAGAACCAGAAAGTTTAAAGGCCTTTCTCACATTAATACAGTTATTGAGACACCTAGAACCAGCATCCAGCTCTTATCCCTAGTTCAGCACCACTTCCCCATTCAGAAATAACACAAGCCACCTGTCACTTACCTTATTCTGTCTTCCATTATTTTTAATGCCTCTTTCCTTCAATAAGATTATAGCTTGCATCCCATTCTTTGAGGGCAAACATCATGATTTTTTACCTCTTTACCTCTTTTATTCCACCCAAAGTGTTTATCAGAGTTCCAAGAAAAAAGAAAGATGCTCCACAAGCATCTGTCAACTATCTGATTTAACCACGAGATTTTCCCCATCAAATTCAGTTCTATCACTAACATTTATCACTCCTAACAGCTTTCATTTAAAGACATTTTGATAAATCTCAAAAGTACTTGCCATACCAAGATTGGAATTATATTTACATTATTTGCACCCAGATTTCCCCTTTTGCCAATTATCTCTACTAATAGTGACAATTAAAATAATTATATTAACAAAAGAAAAAAAGTATAACCACCACCTTAGGCACTGTTGTCTCCTTACCTTGCGTGGGAGAAAAGTAAGGATTAGTGCACTCAAGGAGCAAAACAATAGCAAAATGACTATTGTTGAGTAGAGGAGCCATTGTCTCCTGGATGGTCTCTGTGTTCCTTGAGGATTTGCATGGTTAAAAGGCATGTTCTCCATGAGGCTTAAACTCTGCAGGAATGAGAGCTGTGGAAAACAGATATTCACAAGTGATGGGCTAGTGATGTAACTGTCAGTTTTGTAGTAGTATGATAATTAGTAGTGGGTGTGAGGCGGAGTTTTCCTTCTGATTCTGTGTGTTAGAAAACGATACTTCTAGGTTAAGTGCTGACTCTCACTTGGCACTAGACCAAACACAAGAAAGAAGCAGGCTGAAAGCCAACACAAACACAGAGGATGAAAAAAATGACACACGGGAAGTTCAGAAAGGAAAAATTCTTTCCCCAAGCAAGAGGAAGTACAGTTAGGCAGTTACAAATTATATTCAGATTAGAAAGTTGTTTTTTAATAAAAAGTCCAAGATTAAGACTTATCATACTCCGGATATCAGTACATGTGAAACAGAGCGTGGAGAGTTGGAGAGGTTAGGATGCATGGTTTGATTTGGGAAAATGGTTTCATCAACCTCTAAGAACATAAAATCTGTTTCCAGATAGTCTAAGAAAACACCAAATATATCCCTATATTTTCATTTTAAAAATATAAATACAATAGCCTCAATGTTCTCACTATTTTCAAACACTGAAAATTCAGTGCTGGCATAAAATAGAAATAAAGTCATGATACAAAAGGATATTTCCCACCCTATCTAACTTATAAAAAAAAAACGGAAATCTTCCTGCCACCAAAAATGCTTATTTACTACAAAATTGAGGAAGTTCTCTGGTTCTCTCTCTCTCTGTCTTTCAATCTGTTAAAATGCAATGCTACCTTTTCTATAGAATACCAGCATCATACGCTAGAAAAAACATGGGCTTTTAAATCAGACAAACCTGAGACAGCCTGGTGCTATCCAGCCTCTGCTCTCAGTGCCTTGCTCATATACTTGATTTCTCTGTTCCCTTGATTGTAAAATGAAGAAATTTTCCACTTCCCATGCTTTTTCAAGAATGAAAGAAATGTGACCGGTTTGGCTCGCAAGAAATAAACCATGTGTGTTAGTTTATCTCTTCCCCACCTCTCATAGATTGTAAAGATTGAATCCAGTATAAAAGCCTGGAAAAGAGTGGTTATTTCTTTATATTTACCACAGGATGTATTTTATATATATATATATATATATATATATATATATATATATCATTTTATTTTGTTTTATATATTTTATATCATTTTTTCATATTTGCACAATGTATGCATTTTTTTACCCTAATCCCTCCTCCCCTGGCACCCCCCACATAGTGTGTCTCTGGTTTATAGTTGCTTGTTGGTTTTGATTTTTACTTCATTATAATTAGTCTTTTTCCCCGCAGGATGTATTTCAAGTGAGGTTCACTTAAATAAAAGTGTTCACTTTCATAAGATGAAAGTGTGTTGAGGAAAAAAGATTTTAATCTAAGAGAGTTAAAGTTTTTAAAATTAGAATTAGAGCCTAGAGATTTAACAACCTCATTTATGAAAGAGGAAGCTGGGGATAATAGAGGGTGAGTGGTGTATCATACCACTAATGGCTGATATTAACCAGGTCACACTGTTGTGACCTAACTTTCTTCTCTTAGTACCACAGTATTGCAGAAGTACTTCTCACTTGGCCCTAGCTTACCTTGATGGATAAATTGCCTCTTAAGAGAAGTCACAGAGTCACACAGGAATAATTTTTCAGTACAACTGTATTCCATGCTCTGCATTTGAGGCTGTGATGCAGGGATGAACAGCAAACTGACTCTAGAAAGAGAGTCATCCACTGCGTCCACCACTCTTAGTGTTTGTATCATATCTGAAACACATAGGCACAAGCACAGAATTTTAAACTGATCTCTGAAAAGTTAGACTGTTTCCTTCTTACTTCTCCAGTCTGCTCCTTTTCCTGTCACCTCTCCAAATTTTACATGGAACGGCTCCTGCTTACTCACTTCAGTAATATGTATTCAAATTAGGCACTGTTCCAAATAAAATCCAGTTTTCCCTTCGCCTGGTTAAAAGGTTAAACTCTGGCATATCCTCATTAATTATTTTAACCTTATGAAAGAATCTTAAGAGAGATGATGCAAGAAAATGCATTCCACAGCTGCTTTTCATGAAACAAGATTTAGAAAGGAAGAAACTTCAAGTTAGGACAGGTGACAGTGACAGCAGAGAATATTATGTCAGAACACTCAGCATAGAGCTCCTTTGGTAGCACACATACTAAAATTGACATGATATACAGAAGATTAGTGCAGTCCCTGTGCTAGAATGATATGAGGTTCATGAAGTAGTCCATGCATTATTTTAAAGAATCCAGCATAAATGATGAGAAATATTCAATAGATTATAACTCAGTAAGTAATGCTATGCCAGTGATTTTGCCTACTCTTGATATCAGAACATACACTGTGACAAATAGAGCCCATTTCATCTGAAGATACATGATAAATGATCGATGGATGGATAGGTGGATGGATAGATGTGGTTGGGTGGATAGATGGATGGATGATAGATGATACATAGATGAAAGATGATAGTAGAAAATAAACAGCTGTGATACATAAATAGGGTTTTAAAATAAAAATTTTAACAAACAATACTATTTGGTAAGATTAGTAAAGAGAACAGTGTACAGCTCATTACACATAGATAAATATGTGCATCTATATACATATACATATATGTATATACATGCTCACACATATGTACAATTAATCCTAAAAGATATACAGATTTTTCATAGCAGCCACCAAGTCAGCCTCTCTAAGGAACTAATAACAACCCTAGTCAGGGTGGTCTAGAAAATAGTTTGAATTCAAACTGTTTTTCTTCCGTGACCTGGGTTCCTTCTTCTGTGTCCCAAATTTTCTTGTTCTGTGTTGTCTATTTTTGCTCATCTACTTTTATGGAGTCCTCACCAAATTATTTGTGTTTTTTCTGTGTTTTAGTGACTCAAGTCTTTAGCAAATCTATTGGCCAATTTCCATGAGCCCCATTTTATGCTAGCTTACCACTTTACCACTAGTCTTTGTGAAAGACCACATGAGGTTGTGGGTCTCTGTCTAACCTGAGTCCTTTATGTGAGTGATTCTAGTTTTGTGCTCTGTGCGTGTGTGTGTGTGCGTGCGCGTGTGTCTTCTCCAGCCTAGCTAGCTGGATACTCATTGTATGAGTATCCTGGCCAAGGAAGAGGCATCCCCAACACCTTCTGTTGGGAAGAATCACTTCCTGCTTGGAATCAGAAGTGAACATAGATTTTCCATTATGCAATATATCTGCCAGTTAAAACTAAACATCATGATACAAGCATAATGAGTGGGCATTGTTATTCAATCTTACCTTGCCCAATATCGCACAGCTTGCCAGAGAACTATGTATCTCTCCTGTCAACCCAATTGAATAAGAGGGTCCTAATACTGCTGAGACTAAGAACTCCTCAAAACTTGATTTCCTTGAGCAATTCTGGAAGTGGGGGCCAGCAACAGGTATTTCCCCTTTACAGTACTACTGGGTATTTTCATTTGACAAGCTACTAAATACCAGCTCTATCAGTGAAGAGCAATTAGTATATTCACATTTAACATACAACTGTAACATAGTCATTTAGAAATTGTTGAGACAGTTTCTCTTCTCATTTTCTCATTTTTTAAGAACTGACCATGCACCATTCAGTTTAGATACTCTGGTTCATGAGTAGATTTGTTGTTCTTGGCACTGAGATATAAATCAGTGAAGAAGTTTTCTCTATGAAATGATTCCAAAATAGACCAGAAGAACATGTTATTCTCCTGTTCATTTAGAAAACATTATTGAGGCAACTCTCTTGTCCACCTGTGACTATGCAGGTGCCTCTCTTTTTCTTTCTCCTTTTCCTAGTGAATCTGTCCTTTTAAATTGTAGAAAGAGAAAAGAAAAAGCATTTTCAAATGCTTTCTACATACCAAGTACAAAGGTCTGCCCCAAACTTCAAAACTTTTATTTCTTTTGTCTTGTCTTGGTTTGATTTTTTTAGGCAGTGAGGGAAAGAGAAAAATATACAAGGCAATACAAAGAGAAGAGTAGTAGGATTACGAGAACCAAATGCCTGACCTCACTCAGGGTAAGGGGAAGTTGTATAAAGGAGGTAATGTCTAGGCAAAGATATCTAAGAAGAGGTTACCCCGATGGAATTACCCTCATAATATACCACTTTAATAAGCTATTCAATTGTTATTCAGTATTTCATTAATATATGATCTGTATTATTATCTATTGATAAACTTCTGAATAGCATGAAATATAAACACATAAGTATAGTATAATTTATTTATTTTTATTTTTTAAAGATTTGTTTATTTTATACAAGAACGGGGGTACAGGCCAGATACGCGGGAGGGTGAGAGGATTCACCAGAGACAGAGGGGGGAACAGAACAGGTAGACGGGAGAGGTCCGCCTCGCCATGTGGGACCCTCGCCAGCCGGCTGGGATCGAACTGGTGCTGCAGGCTGCAGACAGCTTCACAGCTCAGCGCTCAACTGCCTGTGCTACCAGAGGAGGCCCGTATAGTATAATTTATTTATCTAGTGTGTGTAGTCTTACAACGATTCAAGCATGTTACTTGGCAATAAAGAAACCAAAAGGATTAATTCAGGGTCTCTAATCTTAAGGAATCCATTGTCTGATTATTAATTCTTTTACATCTGCTCCTTCCAAACTTACATTGAAAATAGTATAAGTTCTAATTTCAAGATAAACTTGACCTACTATTTTTGCATGATTAGATGTAACTTCCCCAGAGTTACCAGTTAATTCAATTCAGGTGAAAATTGGCAAATATCTGAAGTTGCTCAAGCCAAACTACAGTGTATCTGGTTTGACAACTCTAGCCATGAATACATTAGGATGTTCCACTATAAAGAGGAAATCTCAAGTTGGCATGCCAATGGAAAAAACACTGAGTCATAGGCAACACCGTGGAATGCTGCTTGATGAAACAGTGCCAACAGAGGTGGCAGGCAGTTTCCATTTGCTAAATTAAGAACAAACCAGCTTGAAGAGTTAGATCATGAATACTATACTAAGATAAGGAGTTGATATTTCAACTCTTTAGTCATCAAACAAGCCTAAAGGAAATGTCTTTGGCTGAAAGTAGGGATAGTCTCCTCCCCACACGTACACAGTCTCAGATTCTTTTCTGGTCCTTGCACCTCTTTTATTGCAACACCCCTGAGTGCTGATTTCAAATGTAAACCATATAAAAAATAAAATAGACAGTTATGAAAGTAAAAGCAAGGAAAAATATATAGTAAAGCCTGATTTCTTCTAAGCACATACTTAAGTTTAAACATTCACATGCATTATTTATTGAGGATTATTTAATCCTCAAAACAACATTACAAAATGGGCCTTATTTCCATTTTACAAATGAGAAAATTGAAATAAGAGATGTTTAACAGCTTAGCCAAAGTCATGAAACTACTAAAATTCAATCCAGATATGTTTAAGTCTAAATCTATTCTTTGTATTCTGTCTTGAGACATAAATAAGTACCTGAACTTGGTGTTAGTAGGGAAGTATTTTTAAATTGAAAATAATTTATATAATATTAAGGATCTTTATATGCCCTGCTTCTGAATATGACATCTAATAATATATTTTTGAAGGAAAAACTTTTACTAAATAAATATATCTGTTTTTTTAAACTGGTGTAATCAGGGCCTTCCCTAGTGGTGCAGCGGTTGAGTGCTGGGCTGTGAAGCTGCCCGCAGCCTCTGCAGCGCCGGTTCGATCCCTGGCTACTGGCCAGGGTGCCACATGGCGCAACAGACCTCTCCTGTCTCACCGGCTGCTCCCCTCAGCAGTGTATTTCGTCAGTCTGCCTGTTCTGTTCCCTGCTCTGGCTCTGGTGAATTCTCTCACCCTCCCGTGCTTCTGACTGTACCCAGTGCTTGTATGAATAGATAAAAAAAATAAATCTTTTAAAAATAAATAAATAAATATTTTTTAAAAAAAACAAATAAAAATGGTGTAATCATTTTTGCTCTGTCTTCAATTTTATAGTCTTCCTTTTAGTCTCAATCTCAAAATGATCAGGTTTCCAGATGAAGTCAGATTTTAAATCATTTTTTAAAATTAGGATTAAGATATAAAGTATAGTGGATATAAAGTCCAGCCACAAAATTTTCCCAAGGTGCACAATTTTTCTTAGCAGAAAATGATGCCAACTAGAAAATGATATACCCTTATTGGCCAATATTGTAGATACAGCATCATTCATTTTTAATTTTATCCTTCATATTTAAGAATGAGAATAAAATTTTGTCAGCAAGCACAGAGTCAGAATAAATTCAAAGAAAAATTTAGAGACAAGGAGAGTTTTGGGAACCAAGTGGTTAAATGTAAATGAACTGATTGGACAGATTTTTTTTTTAAAAATTTATTTATTTATTTATATAAGCACTGGGTACAGTAAGAAGTGCGGGAGGGTGAGAGAATTCACCAGAGCCAGAGCGGGGAACAGAACAGGCAGACCGATGAAATACACTGCTGAGGCGAGCAGCAGGCGTGGCAGGAGAGGTCTACGTGTCATGTGGGACCCTCTCCGATGGCCAGGGATCAAACCGGTGCCGTAGAGGCTGCAGGCAGCTTCGCAGCCCAGCGGTCAACCGCTGCGCCACCGGGGAGGCCCGGACAGATTTTTTTTTTTTAATATACCCAACAGTACAAGGCCTACAAGAGACTCACCTTAGCTTTAAGACCTTCATAGGCTGAAAAATGAATGGGGAAAGATATTACATGCAAGCTATAGAGTAGCTATATTGATATCAGACAGGATGGGTCTTAAGGCAGAGACTCACAAGAGAAAGAAGTTTATAATATAATGATTAAGGAGTCAATGTATCAAGAGAAGGTAATATTTATAAATATTTTTGCACCTAATATAGGAGCACCAGGGCCTCCCCTGGTGGCAAGCGGTTGAGCGCTGCGCTGCAAAGCTGCCTGCAGCCTCTGCAGCGCTGGTTCACTCCCTGGCCGCTGGCAAGGGTCCCACATGGCACGCAGACCTCTCCTGCTGCACCCACTGCTCCCCTCAGCAATGTATTTTGTCAGTCTGTCTGTTCTGTTCCCGGCTCTGGCTCTGGTGAATTCTCTCACCCTCCGCGCTTCTGACTGTACCCCTGTTCTTGTATAAATAAATAAATAAATCTAGCATAGGAGCACCAGATCTTTAAACCAAATATTAAAAAACACAATATAAAGAACTTAAATACCCTGCTCTCAACAATGGATAGATCATCCTGACAGAAATTCAGTAAGAAAA